TGCGTGCGTGTGTACCCAGCCACTCAGTCGTGTCGGACTCCGTGTGACCCTGTGGACTGCAGCACTCCAGACTCCTCTGTTAGTGGGGCTTCCCAGGCAAGAACACTGGACTAGGTTGCCTTTTCCTTCCAGGGCATCTTCCACCCCAGGGATCAAACCCGCATTTCCTGCATTGGCAGGCGGATTCTTTACCTCTGAGCCACCTGGGAAGCCCTGAAGGATTCGATGCTGGCCACTTCATGGGCTTAGCCCCCCGTGAGGCTCAGTAGGTGGGCACCTGCTCCCGCTCCTCTTGCCCTGGGGTACAGGGCCAGGAGGCCTGTATTCTCCTGCTGGTCCCTGGAGAAGGTAGGAAAGAGCCCGGTGGCATTGCTTGTTCTGCCTGCCTGTCTCAGAGCAGAGCCCCAGGTTTGCAGACTGCAGAGTTTGGAGGGTAGGATCTCATGCAGAAACCAGTGCCCCGAGAAGGGAAGTGACTGTCCCCGTCACGGGGCCAGCAAGCAGCCCGTCCAGGATGAGGGCTCGTGACGCCTGTGATTTCCCTCCAGCGCTCCTTCCACGGCGCCTTGTGGCCCTGGGCCTCCTGGGCGCCTCCTGCCATCGGTGAATGTTGCTAAGGGCACCCGTGCTGCCCCTGCCCTGGGAGACGTGGGTCTCTTCATCCCATTCAGGGCTAGGATGGTCACGGGCACCCCTCCAGGGGTCAGGATCGTCTCCTTCAAGGGCACTTCTTGTCTGGGGAGGGTGTGTGGTGGGCTGTTTCTTTGGAGAGCAGGCTCTCTATCCACCGCAGAGAGGCTTTGCAGGGTTAGGCAGGGAAGGCTGCCGACTACTCCAGGAAAGTAGTCGCAGATTCCGTAGGACAGCTCTGGGGTCCTCGCTAGGGGTAGGCACTCTATCCTCTTCCCGTGTGCGTCAGTAACCAGCAGCATCACGTGGGAGCTTGTGAGAGATAGAGTCCCAGGCCCCACCCAGCCCTTGAATTAGAACCTGACTTTTAGCCAAGATCCCGGGAGATTCGTATGCAGGTGAGAAGCTTGTGAATTACTGTACTAACAATGATCAGTAATGAGTTGATGGAGATTTTTACTTTCTTTGTACATTCTCTCCCCCACCCCTGATTTGTTGTTACTGTATTTCTTCACGTGAATTACTTTATAAAAAAATTGTGGTGAACTGCATGTAACATAGAATTTGCCATCTTCACCATTTTTGGAATATTTATTTATTTACTTTTGGCTCTGCTGGGGCTTTCTCGCTGTGTGGGGCTTTTTCCTCTAGTTGTGATGAGCGGGGTTTGCTCCCTAGTTGCAATGTGAAGGCTTCTCATTGCGGTAGCTTCTCTTGTTGCAGAGCACAGGCTTTGGGGTGCCTGGGCTTCAGTAATTGTGGTTCCCAGGTTCTAGGTCACAGGCTTGGTAGTTGTGGCACGTGGGCTTAGTTGCTCTGTGGCAGGCGGGATCTTCTCAGATCAGGGATTAAACCCCCGTCTCCTGCATTGGCAGGTGGATACTTTACCCCTGAGCCACCAGGGAAGCCCCTGATATTTATTTTTATTTATTTTATTTGGCTGCTTTGGGTCTTGGTTGAAGCACACGCGATCTTTAGCTGTGGCATGACTAGTTCCCTGACCAGGGATCGAACCTGGGCCCCCTGCATTGGGGGCAGGGAGTCTTAGTCTGGACCACCAGGGAGGTCCCCATCTTAAGCATTTTTAAGTGTATGTTTGGTGGCATTAAATATCTTCTGACTGTTTGTGGCCGTCACCTCCACCCGTCCTCAGGCCTCTCTTCATCTTGTAAAAATGTAGGTGTGTAGCTATGAAATTCTAACCCCCCTTCTCTTCCCTTGCCTCCCCTGACAACCACCATGATGCTTGCTTTCTTTATGATTTTGATTACTCTTAGTATCTTATGTAACTGGAATCATACAGTGTTTTCTCTCTTTGTTTATTTCTCTCTGGTTTATTTCACTTAGCACGATGTTCTCCAAGGCTCGTTTGTGTTGCAGCATACTGCAGAGTTGCCTTGCCTTTGCAGGCTGAATAATACCCATTGTATGTGCGTGCCATTCATCTGTTGATGTAACAGGAGTTGCTTCCACATTTTAGCTACTGTGAATAACGCTGCTATTAACATAAGCATATAAATAGTTCTTCAAGACCGTGCTCTCAATTCTTTCGCGCGTACACCCAGAAGAACTGGGTTGTGTATGATAATTCTAAAACACAAATTACTTTTATGATCATAAAAAATAGCAAAAGCACTTCAGGGGGGACAACCTTGTCAAGTTTCCAGCTGGCATTGCCCAAGGGCAAGTAGAGTTGTTGGGTGCAGTACTTGGAAAAAGGAAGAAAGCAAGGCTGCCTTCCCCATTCTTGTGTTAGAGGGAGAAGAGTGGAAACTCGCCCACCGGCTGTGTGAGGAGCAGGGTGTGTTGATAGAGGTGTATGTGAGGGCCTCAGGCAGATGGGGTTTCTAGCCATCCTGAAAGATGCTTCAAGGTGGCCTCTGGTCTGGTGGGAAGGGTCCGTTGGCTGATCTCTCTCAAGACCTCTTCCAGAAAAAATGATAGTGGCAGTGTTTGGAAGAAGTCAGTTTTATTACTGTGTGTCCATAGAGAGTCTACGGACTGGTTTAATCTCCAGGCCTGGGGTAAGGCAGGAGCCCATGCGATAGTCCTAACATAGCCCTTAAAGGGCGTGGTCTCCAGTTAGGGTCATGGTTCCAACTACTAGTATTCAAATTAGAACAAAAACCTGGACCCGCTATCATGGTCCACGGGGCCTTCGTGACTGGCCCCTGCCTGCCTCTCTGATCTTTGCTTCCCTTTTTCTGCTTTCTGCTTAAGTCACTGGAGACTTCCTTCAGGTCCTGGAAGATGGAAGCCAGGCTGTTTTTGCCTCACTTCCCTGGCTGTTTGCTCCGCCTGGAACGCTGGTCTCCCATAACCTTCCATGACTGCCCCTTCACGTAATAAAGGGCTCAGCTGGGATGTCGCCTGTGCAGGGAGGCCTTCCATGACTGCCCTGGCAGACGTGGCCCTCCAGCTGCCTCCCGGTCTCTTCACTTCATCTGGTTTTTCTTCCTAGGATGACTCTCTAACACCTCCTCTGTTAGTTTACTTAGGAATCACTTGTTTCTTCCTAATAGCATTTTCACTCTGTGAGAAGGTGCCTCTTTTATACCGCTTAACTCCTGTGTCCCCAGCACTTAGAACATGGCCTGGCACCCAGTAGAAGTTCAGCAAATATCGAGTGGGTCAGCGCGTGCTCTCGCCTGTCCTCTCTGAGCTTCTGTTTCTCCATCTGCGATTCAGGGATCCTGATCCTGGCTGGTTGGGTGGTCATGGAAATTACAGGACACAGCGCCTTCAGAGGACTCAGTTTGGTGCCTGGTGTGAAGGAAGCGCTCAGCACGTGGGCACGGTTGTTAGCGACCAGGTGGCCCTGGCATGACTTGGATGGAACTCTGAGCATCTCGCCGTCTCTTTAAAACAATATTTATCTGTCTATTTATCTGGCTGTGCCAGGTCTCAGTTGGGACGTGCAGGATCTTTTCGTTGTGGCATGTGAGATCTAGTTCCCTGGTTGAACCTGGGCCCCCTGTTCTGGGAGCCGCTGGACCACCAGGGAAGTCCCCACACTGACTTCCCTTGTAACCCTAAATTTGGGTCTCCTGTGAAACAACCGTGTCCAGTGTCTGGTGTATCATAACATGTAGCCACGTCTCTGTGGATTTGAGTCCCTGGACCCCCTGTGGAGCACCAGATGTGGTTCTGACAGTGTTCTGCCTGGGCCTTTGAAGTGGCCTAGCCTTCATCTCTGCTCATTTGCTCAGTTGCGTCTGATTCTTTGCGACCCTGTGGACTGTAGCCCACCAGGCTCCTCTGTCCATGGGATTCTCCATGGACAAGAATACTGGAGCGGGTTGCTGTTTCCTACTCCAGGGGATCTTCCCGATCCAGGGATCGAACCCGCATCTCCTGCATTGGCAGGCAGATTCTTTACCCCTGTGCCACCTGGGAAGTGGCTTTGCCCCACACCCTCTTAAATGGTGTATGCCATGTGTATCAGTTGGGAATGCTTTTGACTGTAAGTAACCACACAACATACAGGGCTTGAGCAAATGGAATGATTTGTTCTGTGAGACCTCTGAGATTTCTATTGTTGGTTCAGCGGCAGAGTGACATCAGGGCTGGTGTCTTTGTGATTCTTTTGGGCTTCCCTGCAGACGCTGCTCTGGCTTCTCGTGATGTGTTTAGGAAGCAGGCATGAGGGATGAAAGCAGGAATGAAGCCATTAGCATCTGTCCTTTTATAAGGATGGCACAGTTTCCCCAGGTCCCTCCCAGCACTCTTCTGCTTACATCTCATCAGCTGGAACTTCTTAAGGTCAGTCTTAAAAGAGAGGCTGAGTAATTAGGTTTTTTGTGGGAAAATGATGTTAGAGATGATGGTGAGGTCAGCCAACCAGCAGTGCCTGCTGTACTAGGAAACCTATGTTTTACGTTAGATTATTGGTTCTCAACTGGGGGCAGTACTGTTCCCCAGAGGATGTCTGGCAGAATCCGGAGATTTTTGTTGCCACAACTGGTGTGTGTGTGTGTGTGTGTGTGTGTGTGTGTGTGTGTGTACTAATGGTATCTCGTGGGTAGAGGCCAGAGATGCTGCCAGATGTCTTAACAGTTCCCAGGGCAGTCGCAGAGAGTTATCTGATCCAAATGTCAGTGACACCAAGGTTGAGACACCCTTAAGTTAGATCATTCCAGAAACATCATCCAAATTTGGGAAACACGAGTTTAGTTGCTTTCCTGTGATGTAGTGACAGGAAAGTGGTCAGACCTCATAGTACTGGTGCAGATTATTGATATGTGGTCTTGTTATTGATTTCATTAAAGAGAAGGTTGATGCTGGCTGAGAACAGCCAAATGCTACATGTCAGAGAGTCTTAGTAGAAGGTGAATGTCAAACAGAACTAATTAAGCCCTGTTGCCTTCTAGGAACACAGAACAATGACATGAAAAGACAGTTTCTGCTGGAGCGACTGCTGGATGCAGTGAAACAGGTAAGAAGAAAGCTCATGTTGGACTTTTGAGTTCAAATCATAGTGTCAGATGATGAACGTAGAAGTCATTTCCACCCTTCTGTCTACACAGACCTACTTCTGCCTTGAATCTGGAAACAGGGAGGCTACTTATTTCCCCCAGCAAGTGATAGTGATCAGAGGTGGGGTAGAGGGGCCCCTGTGTCCTGACTTCCTAAGGCCCCCGGAGGACCCACCCCCATCCTTCAGTGGTGTCCCTTTGAGAAGGGCATTAATGTCGGTTTCAAAGTCTTATTTCCAAGCAGTATTTTTTTTTGTTTGTTTTTGCTGCACTGCATGGCTTGTAGTAAAATGCATTAACTAAAATCCCCAGATTGAACCCAGGCCCTCAGCAGTGAGAGCAGGGTCCTGACCACTGGACCGCTGGGGAATTTCCAAAGCAGACCTGGGTTTGATCCCTGGTTTGGGAAACTCCCCTGGAGAAGGGAAAGGCTACTTGCTCCAGTATTATGGCCTGGAGAATTCCATGGACTGCAGTCCATGGGGTCGCACAGAGTCGGACACGACTGAGCAACTTTCATGTTACTTTCTAAGGCTGCTGCAGTGCTGGCTGGGAGTTAGGGCCCCCGTGAGCACAAGAACAGAAACGAGGCCATGCTCAGGGCCGTGTGGAGTCTCCAGATCGGCTCTGCTTGGCTTGGTTGACACTGAATGGGTGCCTGGCCTTTGGCTGGGTGCGGAAGCGGGTGTTGACACGCGGCTGGCCTCAGGTTGTCTGCTTACAGCTACCCGACAGGCCTCGTTTCTTGCACGTTCATTGTGTGTCTGGCACTCCGCCCAGTGCTTTCCATCGACTCCTTCCAGCCACCCTGTGAGATAGTTCTTGCAAGTATTGCCATTTTACAGATGAGGGAACGAAGAACTGAAGCTCAGGTCCAATAACTTGCTGCCAGTGTCATAGTTAATAAGCAGCAGAGCTGGGATCCAGCCCTAGAAATTCATGTTTCAGAAGGGGCGACTGGCATTTATCGGCGTGTCATCACAATATAGGGAGATAGATATGTCCTTTAATGGAAGTGCCTGTTAAGGGTTGGTGTGAGCTCAGAGAATTTAGCATCTGCTGAAGCCTCGAGGCATCCAGGTATGGCGGAAAAGACACAGACTCCAGTGTAGCTGGGTTGGAAGGCCAGCTTTGTCTCCTGACAGCTGTGTGTGCTGGGGCAACTTACCCAGCCTCTCTGAGCATCCTTCTTCTCTTTAATTGGGTCAACCATCTCTATAGGGCTGTGGAGGGAATTGCTTTTGTTAAAGGGATAAAGGGCCGTGGCCAGCACCTGGTCCCCAATAAATGCAGAGCCGACGTTATTAGTTTTTTTCTTTCTTTGCTCCAGAAATGGAACGCAAAATAAGATGAAGAGTTAAGTCCAACCACTTCAAATGTAGCAGTTAAACAGAAATAACTTGGATCTTCCATCCAGAGCTATTATTACTATTTGGGAGGCTGAAAGTGTTGTACATATGCCTTTTAAAAGACCAACTTTAGTTATTACAGTGCTTGGCAAATAGTAATTTCTCAATACATAAAATTTAGTAGTTTAGTTTTCTTTAATATCTTGAGTGTTGAGATTGAAACCCTATTCAATTTGGGATTTATTGGACTGGGTAACCTGCTGGTTTTTACTTCATGTTTTGTTTATTATGTGTATCTTTTCATATGCATGTGGAACACACTATGATTTCTTAGCTTCATTAAGAAATTAAAATTTTTTCAAGTTGGAAAGAAAAAAAATAATAGCCAACTTTATTGAGGTGTGATTTGCATACAATAAAAATACCAGTTTTAAGTGCGCAGTCCTGTGAGTTTTGACCGGAGTATCATTTAAATTTCTGTATATATACACATACACATATCCCTGCACACATATATGGTAATAAATTTGGGAATCGGATAAACTTGCTACCCACAGTGGAGGTTCTGTACCTTTGAAAGAGAGTAGTGGAGAGTGGTGATGGTTGCACAATATTGTGAATTGAGTTGCATAACTAAAAATGGTTGAAATGATAAATTTTATGTTATCTACATTTAAGCGCTGTTAAAGGAAAAAAGAAGTTTGCTTTTGTCTCCACCCCCCCGGGTGAATTGGCATCGAGCACAACCAGGGGCTTGTTGGAAGCTTGAAATGTGCTGTTGTAACTTCACAGCAGCCGCAACAGCTTTGGGCCCTGTCGGAAGGGGCCCGTCATCATCACAGATTTGTGGCAGTTTTAATTATTGCCTGTTAAGAGCTCTGTGTTATTGACAGTCAGCTGCTGACAGACAGAAGCAGCTTCCTAGAGAATCTGCAGACGGCTTCTGTTTTCCTCTTAGCCCTGTCTCTGCACAAGGCTCCCTTCTGTACAAGCAGGAGGTAAAAGGGCTTCTTCCTTCAAATGGCGGCTGGAAGGCTGGGGTGCCCGCCGTCCCACTTCTTGGGCTGACCCCTAGGACTCGGGGACGCCCTGACTCGGCCCCCAGAGCTCCTGGCCCCGGGTGCCCCCAGACCCCGAAGGCCCCTGGGGGTGGTTTTGTGTGTCCATCCCAACAGCTGATCTCAGTGACTTTCTTTTTCTGCAGTGCCAGATCCGCTTTGGAGGGAGAAAGGAGATCGCCTCAGATTCTGACAGCAGGTAAATAATGTAGCCTATGAAACCCATTACCCTCAAGGCCAAAAAGGTAGCCAGAGATTCACCAGCTTTTATATTCTGCCACTGCAGCCAAGTCGGGTGGTGATTACGTTACCAAGTTTGAGTTTGGACAGCAGGCTGAGAGACGAGTTGTTGGGGCAAAGGATAACGGCTTGATTCAGAAAACCAGCTAACCAGAAGATGCTGGGCTTGTGTCTCCATAGAACCGTCTTGCCTGAGTTAGCATTCAGGCTCCTTTTGTAATAAAAGGGGAGGGGATAAAGTCAAACACTTCCTGGTTCCCATTGGCCTCCAAAGGGATGTGTTAATTTCTTCTTCTTGCGTTCTTTCCTTGTTGTTCTTGTTCGGGGGTTTTTTTTTGGGTTAACCGGAGTTTTTTTGGTTTTTTGTTCTTTCCTTGGGAGGCGGGTTTCCCGGAATTGGGCCTTTTTTTTTATTTTAACTTTTTGGTTACCTTTTTTTTGTTGTTTACTTTTTGTTGGATTGCAAAATTTCTTCCTTTTTCCATTTCCTTTTGGGGGGGAGTGTGTAGATCTCTACAGGGACTACTTGTCTGAAGTACCCCCAGCTCCCTGTCATCCTCTTTCTAGGAATCTTCTGTGAGGGAATTACTTGAAATGCCTTTCCACGTGAAGTTATTTTCACAGTAATTTATAATGATGAAAACTCAGAAATCTGAACGCTCAACATTTGGGAAATGGTGAATAATGAAGCATAGTGCATCAGTAGTTTGAAATGTTCTATAGCCTGTTACACTGATGTCCATACAGAATTTGATATAAGCAGAAAAATGCAAATGTAGGAATTTAAAAGTAATAAATTTAGTGAAAATTAAAAGAGCAGCATGCAGAGTTAATATGGATGCAGAGTGATCCTCCATGTGTCAAACGACTGTGGCAAAAAACATACCAAAATGTAAATAGAGGTCGTGTTGAGGTTAAGACTGTTGGGAATCTGTATCCTTTCTGATATTTTGTCACATTTTATACTGTGATTGTGTGTCCCTTTTATAATTAAAAAAAAGTCCAAAAAATGGCCATTGACCTTCATGACCGAGGAAAGGCTGACATGACTGCATAAGCGTGTATAAGAGACTCAGGCATTTGCTGGAAATGCCCAGTGAAGTTCAAGGCTGATCCGTGCTCTGCGGCTAGGGAAGAGCAGGAGGAGCCTTCCCGAAAGGGAAGAGACGGGAGGGATCTCACTGCTCAGCATTTCGTCTCAATCTGGAGCCGTGTGTGTTCCCTCTGACCCTGACCTACCCGGCCCAGCCGGTTCCTCCTCTGTCCCTCCAACCCTTGCCCTTGTCGGCACTTTACCAGCCGTGAGCAGAGTGTGCAGTGCTACGTGTTCATGGAGTTATGGGGACTGTTTGAAACCGGTGCAGATTTAAAATTCTACTCTTCACCCCTCCAGTCTCTGCCTCTTCTTTGCTCAGTTTTTCTCCACAGCACTAACTAACGACTGTATATTGTGCTTTTTAAATTTTTTATTTCATTTCTTCCAGTTTTCCCATACCACAGTGTCCACTCTGCAGGCAGAGATGTTTGGCTCTCTTGTTCAAGGTGCATCCTCAGTGCCTGGAAGCATCTAGAAGGTGCTCAGGGAGAGCCGTTGTCTGGTTGTGTGCGTGGCTTCCTACCACACATGTTCAAGGGTGTAAAGATCTGTGAGCTCAGAGGGCAGAGGGGCAGCTTCTCCATTTTTTTCTGAGTATTTTGCACAGACATTCTGTGCCTGTCACTCTTGAGGTTCTCTACCTGTTTGTGGCATTAGATCATTAAATTGATTGATTGCTTTAGTTCTTCCCGAGGGCCTGCTATGGGGCCTGACCTCCATCAGTACAGGGGTCCTCCTTTTGGGACCAGGATCGCCTGCATGAATGGGAGTCCTTGATGTCCTGAACCAGGAGGTAGATGTGTGTGTGTGTGTGTGTGTGTGTGTGTGTTTATGGGTGCGTGGGTGTATGTACTCAAGAGTTCTCTATCACTTTTTTTCATAATTATGCTTTTTATTTCGTTAGAGAAGCCATCTCTAAATGTTAGATGAACATGTACTTATATAGCAGAGCTTACCATTGTAATTTTTATTCTGTAAACTGTTGTATTTTATAGTAGAATTGACAAAGTTAATTCCTTCTATGGTATTAACTGTGGTTTCCGGCTTCCAGCGAGACCCTACTTCGTCATGATAATGATAGTTACTGTCTCTGACTGTTCCTGCCGCTCCTTGTTTGTGTTGATTCTTGGTCTCAGGGCAGCCCCAGGAGGAGCAGAGGTATAATTCTTTCTTCACAGATGAGAAAACAGAGGCCCAGAGAGGGAAGCTAATACAGCCTCAGTGTACCTTCTCGGGAATGTTAGGGTTAAAGGTTAAACTCTAGTTTCTTGGGCTCCAAAATCTATTCTTTCTGTGTTATATCACATTTAGTGATTGCATTGGTTGTGAGCTAGGTTAAATTTTTTTTTGTTTTTTTTTTCCCCTAAAGGGTTCCTTCTCAATATCCGAGTCTTGGTCTCCTCTTGCACGTGTCTGGCTAAAGGTGGCACCACCTTTGTGTAGGAAAGGCCACATCATTGTCATTATTTGGTGAGAAAGTCTCATCTCAAGAGGGAAAGTCAGTGACTGTGGCGGAGAGGGAGGTGGGAGGGGGGGTCGGGATGGGGAATACATGTAAAACCATGGCTGATTCTTGTCAGTGTATGACAAAAACCACTACAATATTGTAAAGTAATTAGCCTCCAACTAATAAAAAAAAATAAATAAAGCGACTGTTGTGAGGTCTGAAAGGAAAGGTGGTTCGCCTCTCTGCGCACCCCTTCAGACAGCCTGGCACCAGGATGGATCTCAAATCCATTGGCTTCTCTCCAGCTCCCCAGCTGTTGCCCGTCGCGGTCACCCTGTGGCTCACAGGGCGGCCGTTGGGGACCTTCCCCCGTCTCCTTTCTTGCCCTGCCTCCTCTGCATCCAGCAGAAGCATCTGCAGATGCATCCATCCAGCTCTGCAGAAGCAGATTGCCGTCCATCATCCCCCACCCCGCCCCGGCCCCACGGAAAACCTTCCACCGCCTTCTCTTTGCTCTTGGGAAAAAGACCCACATGCTTAACGACCTGGAGGGCCCCCAACTCTCCCTGGCTCTCTGCCCCCGCCACCCTGGCCCGGCCTTTTCTGGTTTTTGGTTTTTGTTCTTAAAGCCTGTCAGTCATTTTTCGGGGCCGCCTTCCAGGTCCCTGATGTGAGTCCTCCACACTCTTCTCCGGCCCTGGCCGCCTGGGCTGTTCTCCTCGCTCTGTACCAGGGACTGGCAGATTCTTGCTGCTTCAGCTCGGATTTGTCCTCAGGCTGTGCTGTGCTGAGCCGGCTCCACACCGTTGGAGGCTGTAAACCTCTGTGGGATGAATGCATTCCATCTGTCTGCTCAACTAGATGACCAGCTGGAGAGAAGTCTGGTTTGCTCACGCCGCTTCCACAGTACCTGACACATACAAGTGCGTGTGTGTGTGTGTGTGTACGCGTGTGTGCGCGCGCGCTGAGTTGCTTCACTCGTGTCTGACTCTTTGTGACCCTATAGACTGTAGTCTGCCAGGCTTCTCTGTCCATGGAATTCTCCAGGCAAGAATCCTGGAGTTGCCAGGCCCTCCTCCAGGGGCTCTTCCCAACCCAGGAATCGAACCTGCGTCTCCTGCATTGGCAGGCAGGTTCTTTCTCCCGGCGCCACCAGGGAAGCCCAACAGTGAGTTACTGAGCACCTCCTTGGTGTGATGTTCTGTGCTCGACCCTGGGGCTGCCAGAATATTTCTGACATGTTTCTGCCCCTCAGATGACTTCATGTCCACCAGGGAATGCAGTCCAGTGAGGCAGCGATGACAGAATGTGACCCTGAGGGTGACATCTTAGGGGCTGTTGGATGCCCTGCACAGCCCAGCTTCGAATGTTGTCTCTTCTCCTTTCTAGCTGCATCTCTCACTCTCTCTAAGTTCAGGAGTTTCAGATCTACTGTGACACTGTGGTTTATAATATGCGTGTGTGTGTGTGTGTGTACGTGCGTGTGTGCGCGCGCTGAGCTGCTTCAGTCGTGTCTGACTCTTTGTGACCCTATGGACTGTAGTCTGCCAGGCTTCTCTGTCCATGGAATTCTCCAGGCAAGAATCCTGGAATTGCCAGGCCCTCCTCCAGGGGCTCTTCCCAACCCAGGGATCGAACCTGCGTCTCCTGCATTGGCAGGCAGGTTCTCCTGGCGCCACCAGGGAAGCCCAACAGTGAGTTACTGAGCACCTCCTTGGTGTGATGTTCTGTGCTCGACACTGGGGCTGCCAGAATATTTCTGACATGTTTCTGCCCCTCAGATGACTTCATGTCCACCAGGGAATGTAGTCCAGTGAGGCGGCGATGACAGAATGTGACCCTGAGGGTGACATCTTAGGGGCTGTTGGATGCCCTGCACAGGCCGGCTTCGAATGTTGTCTCTTCTCCTTTCTAGCTGCATCTCTCACTCTCTCTAAGTTCAGGAGTTTCAGATCTACTGTGACACTGTGGTTTATAATAAGAAATATACATTATTGCCCCGCTTCTGGTACTAGGCTCTTAAAACCCTTGAAATTTCCAAAGCTATGAGAGCCAGAAAGGTGTCTTTTGTAATGTTAATGCAGTGACTTTGGAAAGCACTCGAGGTTGGGGGCTGGCTGCCGGGAGGACCAACCTCCTGATTAAGCGGTTGGAACTTTTCAGTTCCATCTCAGGACCACCGGGGAGGGGAGGGGGCGGGCTGGAGATGGAGTTCAGATGCCAGTGGCCAATGATTTAACCGATTAAATCTATATAATGAAGCCTCCATAAACATCTCGGGGTTTAGAGAGCTTCTGGGTCAGTGAATACTTAGAAGTGCAGGGAGAGTGGTCCCCTGCGGGGGGTGGCCCACTGGAAGCCCTGTGCTCGCTTCCTGTGTCTTTCTTCTATCCGGCTGTTCCTGAGTTACCTGCTT